CCAATACTACTGCTGCCACTACATAGTAGTAAATGCAGCAGTGAGTTTAGATGGGGAGGAGATGCAAAGAAAAGAATAATATGGGAAAATATTCTATTTATTGAATACTGTATGTATAAATGTATTTCTTTTGCAAAATATGCTTCCATTACCCTTGTTAATTCAACTTTAATTCAAAGGCAGGGTATGATTTCATCAAATGCAGTCTAACTGGAAACAAAAATCATTTAAATTAATTAAGATTAACTGTTTGGTCAAAGAATAAGTAAACAAATCTGATGAGAGATTGGTGTTAAATACCCCGCCCTATAATTCAAAGCTTGCAGGTGCCATAACCAGGATCTGCTGATAGAATAAAAGCCTTGAGTTCTCACCGGAGAAAGCCCTGAAAGTGATGCTTTCTGTTTAGTCCTTGACCTCGTCACTGCAGAGAGACCTACTTGAGTTCTCGAGGTTGAGTTTTGCGGCTCATAGAAAGGTTGCACCATAAAAGGTCTGACCTCATCTTTCTCATTCATCAGTAAAATATTGTATATAGGCTGAAAGCGGAAGGTGAGGGTGTCAAATGAGGGCAATTTGGTCCCCACTTGAAGTTGTGATCAAAAAGCTTTTCTGAGATTTGCTTCCTTATGAAAGGAAGCACCAAAAAAACGCAATCAAGACAATTATGAAAACAAGAATGACTTTCTGTGTCACTGGACGAAAGGTAGAAGTAGAAATGAAGGTATTCATTTTGGCAAGATTCTTAAATTGGACAAAAATGACTGAAATAGCTTCTTTTTTCTTTTATTTTCATTTTTCGTTGCTCAAAACTTGGATCAAAGATGACATCCAACTCTTCAGATGTTGGCTTGATGTAGCAGCTAAGGAGCTAAGAGACTGCTGAATTTGTCATGAGACACACTGAAGCAACCATATAATTCGAACGTCTGCTTCTGCTCTGAAGTTCTGCATCACCCCCCCCCCCCCCCCCTGCCCCACACACACCACACACACACAACACACACACACACTACACAGCACACCACCCACTCCACCCTCCCTGGGTATTGTGACGGCTTGTTTCTGTCAGAAGACGAGTTGTTGCACCACTTCTGCAACTTTCTGGCGGTTGGAGAAGACGGCAAAATTTGACTTTACTCCAAAACGTCCTTCCAGATTAAACATCAGTCATTCTTAAGTCGTAAAAACTGGGGCATCTCAGGAGGGGATATTTACACCTGCTGCTTCACATAATGTTGCCATTTGACAAAAGCTGATTGTCTGTGACATCGAATGAACGCTGCATACTTACAGTGTGTATATGGGCTAATTTGATATGTCTCATTGGTAAGATAAAGACCCATTGCAGAACTCCATAAACAAATGACATTCACATCATTACTCATGTTGTATCATGGGAGCAGAACTATGAAAAGTCAATAAGGGAGTGACACAACTGGCTAATCTTCTCCAAACTGATTGCTTTACATAAACATTACAGACAAGGGGCTGTGCATCATTCAGAAACAAGGTAATTCTCCCGACGTGCACATGAGTGTACACACACTGACAAAACAAACATCCTCATGCTTCACTGTTATCTAAATCACAGTCACAAGTCCCTCTCAAAGTCACAGCGATAACACTTTTAGGTAGCCCAAATTGGTCGACCACTATAAAAAATGGCTCCCCCTTCGCCATATTTAACAGGCGTCAGGAGGACGAGAGGCATCCTGGAGCGGCAAATAAGAGGAATGTAGCCATTACAATGGCAAGCAGCGGCTCAGAGTGCCTGCGCTGCATCCCACAGGGCTGACTTCACCTGGGTGGTGTGAGAATGATGTTGATGCGTTGTCTGTTTGATTCAGACGGAGTGGTAAAAAAACAGGCACATGTGAGATTTCAGTGGTGTCTTCTAACTGTGCAATTACCGAACCAGGGAGACTTGTAGTGATGGCTTCAGAACCTGATCAGAATACTGATCCAGAGAGCAGGATAAGATAAAGTTGATGCATTGTAAGCAAATGCATGAAAACACTATAATTATTACCACTACCACAAGCTAGTACAACTACTGCTAAAATAGTAGTAATCTGTGACAGTAGGAAACAATGATTTTAGAGTCAATACGGAACATAATGAAATGTTCGTCAGCTGGTTTACACCATAAAGGCTGTCCAAAACAGAGTGTGACCAACTCAAGGAATAAACCTTATCTAGCTAGCAATTTGCTAAAATCTCATCATTTGTCAACACTGACAAATTCTGCAAATTATTATGTTTACTTCTGTCTGAATGAAGCATCCACTGTTCCCGAAACTTACCAAGAATTCTGATTGTAAACTCTACATGTAGAGGTATTAAACCTTTTTATACTAGTGCCAATAGAATACCTAAAAAACAAGACAAGAAACGAAATCAAGAAATTTAACAAAATAAATATAAATGAAAGCCAATAAAGTTCTCAAATGTTAAATGTTTAAACACAAGCAGCCATAGAACTTCACCTAAATATGATCTAAATTATGTCGTTTGTATTAAATGCATAACAGAATTGAAGGAATTATTTGTAAGTTTTGCTATTGCTACATAGCCAATGTTAGCATTAACAGCCATTGTTGCGTTTACAAGACAAGGGGTTATAATACGCCCTCTGGGCAGTTTCTTCAGGGCAGACTGGACGCTACAGTGACTCAGTATCGGAAAGTGACAAGGCAGTCACATAAAGACCACCTAATGATACATAAGTACAGTGTATATTTAAGCTAATGCCGTCGGACAGGACATGAGGAAGCAATTTTTCTTGCTAAAAAAAGCCTAGTGCGAGATGACGAAAGACTCTTGAGGTTATAGTCAGTCTGTCTCCAGGGAATTGATTGATGGGTGGAAACGGGGAAAAACATAAACCCCAGGCTAAATTAGGTCTAAAAAAAATTCAACCCCCAATCAGGGAAGCCATTATTGCAAATCCTGCAGACAGCCCTGAAAGCATGCAGGTTGGTGGAGCACTGGGTCGGGTAAAAATGACACACTAACGAAGACAAAATAATCAGCTGATGGATCTCTCTCCCTCTTTCTCCCCTTTTCTCTCCCCCTTGTCAGCTGTATCTAATGATACACTAAAAATACCTCAGGATCAAGGATGGCACTGACTACAGCACAAAAAAGGAGGAGATGAAAGAGCGGAGTCTTGTTTCATGCCAGCAGCTGCTTTATGTATGGATTATTACAAATCTCCTTTGTTACAGCACCACTCTTACCTACTGACACTAAAAAAAAAAAAACAATTAATTTCCACGTATCAGAATGATCTTACATAATTCAACCTCTGTTTCTGCCGGAAATATGCTTCTAATCACTCTTTGAGAACAGTGAAGCACAGATGTTAGTTTCCAGATGTGTACAGTACTAACACAGTTTGTGATGTTCGCCAAGGCTCATTCAAGCATGATAGATTTGTTTACAACTTTTGTGGGTCACAGCGAGTAATGGTGACAAATCAGCCACACGACAGATGTCTCATCCTTAAGCACATATGGGGACCTGTGGTTAAAACAAACACTGAAATCAGGCTGACAATTATTCAGCTCATTGTCTCAGATCCAGGAGAATGGCATCTTTCTGTCACTAATATAATAAATATGGGTTTTCAGCTTTCTAATTATAGCCAATCACAGAGGGGGGAAGGCTTTGGCAATTTGAGGATTCAAGACGAGAGTTAACAGCTGCGCCGTTTCTAGGAGCCATCTTAGATGCTGTGATTGGAGGAGACAGCTTCGCTGGGCACGAGAGAAGACAAAATCCACCTCATTAATCCTTCAGCTGTACATATTCCACACATCTCAGAGCTGTGATCATTCTCTTTACTGCCGCGCTGAGACGTGTGAGGCTGGATCAAGTTGCTGTTTTACCTTGATCCAAAATAAAGTATATAATTTCCTCTCATCGGGTCCCTGCGGCGCTGTCAGTGTTTATACTATCATGGCCCGGCTATTAAAAAAACACAAGAGTTTTTGAAATTGGTGGTGATGAATTGTAACAATAGCAGCATACACACACAGTCATTGATCACAGAAAAATGAGGGTTGTGGTTACAGGTAATTGGGTAACTATTGAAGCATATGGATTAAATCGCTGGGAGGAATGTCAGACAGCAAGGACGCACTCGCACAGACACACACAAATGCATGCACGATGTGCAGAAACACACCTTTACAATGACACAGGAGGGACAGATGGTGTAAAAGAAGACAATGAAAGAACAAACACCGCTGATCCTTTTAGCAAATGTTAGTTTTGCCGGTTGAGTCACAGCGTGATACGCGTTTAAACTGATCCTTGTCACGTCTTATGAAGCTCAAAGCAGAAATATATTATTAGCAGCAATGCTTTCACTACAATAACTAAAATCACACCGGCTGTTTTTAAAGCTGAACTTGAAGTGTATAATTTGTGTTTGGTCACTATGTATTCCTCATGCAACTCTTTCCCCTGTTTCTGGAGGTGCTGGAACAGATTAGCTGTGTAGTTTTTCTGTTGTCATCACAGCATTTCTTTGCTTTGTTTGTGCCATAGTACATCTGCTCTTCTGCAACTAAAATACTGGCAAACCACTGATGCACCTTCTTTTTCGACAAACAAATTATGCTCAGTGCAACTTGCTTTTCTTTGTATTTGAGCGTCTTCTCCCTCTGACTGTTAAGCACTGGCCTTTTTGATTCTGATTGGTGCACCAATAGTAAAGAGGACTCCAACTGTCCGACAAGTCGATATGAAATACTTATTTATGAAGTTGTTGACCTGACATGTTGGCAAACAGTGTCCTATTTGTACATCAGACAGGAAAAAGTACTAAATGCTTCATGCTTCTTTTTCCTTTCCCACAACTGAGACAACTGAGAAAAAGGAATACTTCCAAACAACCTGACCTTTCTGCAGCTTTGACGGTGCACACATTCAAATCCATGTTCTAATTCAATAAACCCTTTGCAACCCTTAAATTGAATGGGATTACTTACTGCTTATCCATTTGGCGTTGGGGTCATGAACCTTGAAGTCTTTTCTGAAGAGGTCTCCAACGGTCACCTTCCCCTTGAGAGCCAGGCGGTCATCTTCGCCTGCAAAGAAAGATAAAGAAAACTGAGCAACACCTCGTGTAGCAATTACAGAAAGACAGCAAACAGACTAAAGCGCAAAGGTAATGCAGTGACTTGGCTATAATGCTATAGACAAGTGCGAGGGAATTCATAGGAAAGGCAGAAAGAAAGCAACAGCAAATAAAAGTCTTTGTCTGTAAGGTCATGTTTAGACTGGAATGAGTCGAAGTTTATGTAATGAAAAGAAAAAAATGCACCATCCATTCATTCAGAGTCAAAATTCAACGATTATAGTGAAGCAGTCACAGACTTTCAAATATTAAAAATGTTTAAAAGTGTGGGGTTATCTCCAGAGCAAGTACTGCCATTTTGTAAACATCTAAACATAATGTCACATTAAAGTTACATCAAGATTCTTCCCCCAAGGCCATTCAGTACCTCCTGTCTGGACCTTTAGCTGTGCAGAGCATAGACCCAAAGGCTCAAGAGTCCGAGAACACTTTCCCATTCACTTGAAAAGGAAAGTGTCTCAGACTTTTGGACCCCACTGTGCGGCTTAAACGTGAGGCAAAAAATAAAACTGGGTGCTATAAAGAAAAAACAAAACAAAGATAACACTGATTTTCAACAAAAACTGAGAGACTATATAATGTTTTCCTGACACATTCTGATCGCTAGCTGCATCTTAACATCTTTTTCCTGCAGGCTGCAACTTCAGCTTTCAAAGAATAAAGAACTGAGATAGAGAATAAATAAATGAATAAATAAATAAATAAATAAAATAACATAAGTGAAATAACAAAGCAGAGCATTGTCTTAATTCCCTCAGGCCTTTGATTAAGACTAGTGCGGCTTCTGATCATCAGACCAGACGTGCATATTAAGAGCAGATGCATCCCGCAATTCATTTCAGCTTAATTTCATCCATCAATGCTCATCATATCATCCCCTGCTCTGTAATATGACTCATTTCACCTCCATACACATTATGGGAGGATGAAAAGCAAAGAGGCAATACACTACGAGCTGCTTTGTTTCCAGTCAGAGCAAATCTCACTCTGAAGTTTCGCTTTAACAGTGACTTTAAAAATGCTTTGAGGGTTTTCAGTCTTCTGCAAATAAAGCTTTCACAAGACATGGTAGCTGATGGACACAATGGTTTCCCAAGAGCAGAGTGGCAACCATAATTCTTAAATGGAGGCAGTTCTGAAAAACCGTTCTGGTTATTTCCTAGAACTGGCTGCCCGGTGAAACTGAGCAATCAGGGGTGACGGGCCTTGGTGAGATAAGGGACCAAGAACCCGATGGTCACTCTGGCGGAGCTCTAGAGATCTTATGAGGAGATGGGAGAAACATCCAGAAGGGCAACCATCACTGCAGGACTCCTCTGATCTGGGCTTTATGGTAGAGTGGCCAGATGGAAACCTCTTGACTTGGGAGTTTGCAAAAAAAAAAAAAAAAAAGGCACCTAAAGGACTCTCAGACTGTGAGAAACAAGATTCTCTGGTCTGATGAAACCAACATTGAACTGTTTGGCCTCGGTTTTAAGCAACATGTCTGGAGGAAACCAGGCAGCGCTCATCAAATGCCCAATACCATCCCAATCGTGAAGAATGAAGGTGGCAGCATCATATGGTGTGTGGGTGTTTTTTAAAAGCAAAGACAGGGAGACAGGTCGGGGTTGAGGGAAAGCTGAAAGTACAAAGATATCCTTAATGAAAACCTGGTCCAGATAGCTCAGCTCCTCAGACTGGCCCCAAGGTTCACAGCCAAGAGAATGCAGGAATGACTAAGGGAAAACTCTGTCAATTTCCTTGAGTGGCCCAGCCAAAGCCCTGACTTGAACCCAATCAAACATCTCTGGAGAGACCTGAAAGTGGCTGACAGAGCCCGAGAGGATCTGCAGAGAAGAATGTCAGAAAATCCCCAAATCCCGCTGTGTAAAGCTTGTCACATCATACCCTAAAAGACTTGAGGCTGTAAATGCTGCCAAAGGTTCTTCAACTAAGTGCTGAGTAAAAGGTCTGAATACGTATGTCAATGTGATATTTCAGTTATTACTTTTTAATAAATTTGCAAAAAAAATCTTAAATTCATTTTTTGCTTGTTCATTATGGGGTTCTGCCTGACGAGGGAACAATTTGTTGTTTTTTTTCCTTTTTCATAAAGCTAACATGACAAAATGTGAAAAAGGTAAAACATTTTCTGAATGCACTGTATTTCTGTGATACATTATTACATTCCTTCTGAAATTGTCTTTACAAAAAAAAAAAAACACACATTTTACAGCTACAAGCCATGAGAGAGGATAAACAGTGACGGCAGCGCTGCAGTAGAGGACGGAGAAAGCACAGGAATCGACCCTGACCATGACCATGATGACAAAACACATTGATCAATCTGTTTTCAGTATTACAAGCACTTCTGCAACTCCCACCTCTCTACTGTTACATAAAGCGTTGCTTACAAAGGCCATGAGTTGCATAAGCAAACTTTTTCTTTCAAAACACTGCACTTAGATAAATGCCAATTATAGGTAATTTCTTTAATATGGAACTAATTTGCCTGGTGTGTATGTAAATAGCGTGTTTGAACTGCATTCATGATGCCTGTGCAATCACACTTTGTATTTCTACTACCCGGGTTTCTCTCAGTTTAAATAAAGGATTAACCAATGTGCCAATTTTATGTATGTCTGGCATCACTACTGCTACTGAAACTACGATTATTCATAAAACACTAATAAAATGTTAATATAAAAAATAGAAGTAGAAAGAAATGTAAATAAGTTCAGAATTACATAATAAAATAAATTACTGAAAGAGGTACAGACCCATCATGTACAGAATTTTTTGTAATAAATGAACTATAACCAATCTGATTTGGTGAAGAAGGCAAAAATGCATTGACAAGTTATATTGCAAGTGGAATTGTCATGACTGACGATAACTGTGATATTCTAAAAAATGCAATATCAATATTGTGTTAATGTGTGATAATGTGGTGATGGCAGATGTTCAGCTATGTGGATCTTTTGTTTATCAGTTCATCTGGTTTCCTTTTCACTATTAATTAAGTGTAATTTCTTCGCTTTTGTAGAGTTATGGTTACAGACTCTTTCTCTGTCTAATTCATTTGTCAAAAAAGAGACAAAACATACAATAAACAAAGTTAAAGATCAATTTGACAGATAGCATTTTTTTTCCAAAATAATAATAGATATCGCGATAACATCATTATCGTGAATTATTTTTTCCACGATAATCGCGTAGTGAAAACCTGATATTGTGCCAGGGTTGAAAAGCCTGAGCAGCTGAAGGTGGACCAGAATGTGACCCTAAAACTGCCTACTGAAACCCAGAATAATGAAAATTTTGAAGATCCTTACAGATGAATGAGCCACTTCCCCTGTTCAGTAGTGAGAGGAAACTCTGGTGCTGAACAATGAAAAGACCATCATGCTGTTTTGCACATTTTAGCTGGTGGTGAAACACAATATCATGCATTTACATCACAGCTAACCATTTTTATAAAATCATGTTGCACTATATGTTCTCAGACAGGTGAAATGTTTTTTGCTGCTTTTCAGGAATCCAGTGGTTTCACTTCATGTAGGCATATTACATCTATTATAGGTATGATCACCTTGTGGGATCATTGCCTTGGTAATGTGGCTGAAAATGTGGCTCGTTTTAAAGCATTTTACATGATGCGTTTCAGTGCTTGCAAGCTTTGGTATCACTCATTTAAGGTAGGGAACAATATATTACAGTAAGAAGAGTAAGACATTTAAACCTGGAAGACAAACAATAAGAAACAATGGGTTTTGTGAAGTGTGTAATGAGATATAGGAGCTTTATGAGGCTGTACTTGTATGCTAATATCAGTGAGTTAACATGCTCACAATGACAATGCAAACATCTGATTTGTTGCAGGTATAGTGTGTACAATGTTTATCTTATTAGCTTAGCTATTAGCATGCCAACATTTGCAATTAGTGCTTCAACACAAAGTACAAGAAATGGTTGGTAGAGATAGTTAATGTTAGGCTATAAAAATGCAACTTATATCAAACCGCTCTGGCCTAAGACAGATCAAGTAACAACAGATGATCCTGCCATGTCTCTACATCAATAGCATGTGCCGTTAATGGCACACTCTCGGCAGAGGGAGAAACAAACCTGTGCTATTGGGGGGGGGGGGGGGCTTTTCTAGCTGCTACAGCATCACAGCTAAGAGCTCCTCAGCAAAGCCTAACTGTAACCGCGTCCGCTAATTTTAATGTGACACACGCTTTGATCCTGGTGTTTCAGCTGTCGGCGAAATCATCTTTAAAGAGCAGGCGGATGGAGGAAGGGGAGGTTCAGACAGAGGCTGGGAACAGAAAATGACACTAAACATCTTTCTCTTGTCATGTCAACACCATCACATTTTGAACGCTGCTGGGAGAAAAAAACAGTTTAATGTCAGCTTTTGGATCAATGAGCAATCTCAACAACTGGTTGTGATCAGAAGAGTCTGCACTCGTCACTAAAGAGCAATATCCACAATCCAATGACAGCCTGATGTCTCAAGAGTTTCTACAATATTAATAGCAGATCACGGGGAATAAGTTTGTTTTTATATATATTTTTATATGGCTTATTTTATCTAACCATCATTCCAAAATCCAAAAGATATTCAATTTGCAATCACACAAATCAGAGAAAAGAACTGAATTATCACGTTTTAGAAGCTGGAACTGGAACTAAAAAAAAAAAAAATAAACAGATTATCATAGTTGTTGATCAACTTTTGAATTCACTGGGGATAGTCACGTGCAAACCCCTCATCACAGGGTGCATGTTTTTTTTTTCAGCCAGTTTCTTTTCGATAGTCTTTAGAAGCCTGAAGAAGTGAGGCAGGGCAAGTTTATTTGTGTCGCACCTTCATCATCAAGGCAGTTTGAAGTGTTATATCTTAAGACATAAAAAGGCACACAAGGAGATATAAAAGTGACACAAGGTAATATATAAACACAA